TTTGTATATTTTTCTTGGTTGATTAAAATTCCATTCCTGTTCTGTCTTATATTCAAACCAAGAAAATTGTTAATTTTTCCCATCATACTCATCTCAAATTTACTTTTCATGAGATTTTCAAATTCAGTAGACAATGTTGGGTCAGTTGAGTCAAAAATAATATCATCAACATAAATTTGAACAAGCATAAGATGTCCCCCAACTTTCTTGTGAAATAATGTAGGGTCAACTGATCCTTGTTTAAATTTAGATTGTTTCAAAAAATTGGTAAGTGTTGCGTACCAGGCTCATGGTGCTTGTTTTAACCCATAAACTGCTTTGTCTAAGATGTAGACATGATCATGATGTTCTTCATTTACAAATCCTGGAGGTTGTTCAACATAGACTGTTTCTTCTAGTTCTCCATTTAAGAATGCACACTTAACATCTATTTGAAAAACATCGAAGTCTTTGTGAGCTGCATAAGCTAAAAATATGCGAACTGCTTCGAGTCTTGCAACAGGTGCAAATTTGTCTTCATAGTCTATTCCTTCTTGTTGCGAATATCCTTTAACAACTAGTCTAGCTTTATTCCGAATAATATTGCCATCTTTGTCGGTTTTATTTTTAAAAATCCATTTTAATCCGACAATTGAAACATCAGAAGGTTTAGGAATTAATCTCTAAACCTTATTTCATTCAAATTCAGCCAGTTCAGATTGCATAGCAACAACCCAATCTGAGTGTTCCATAACATTCTTTACTGTCTTTGGCTCTATTTTCGAAATAAAAATATTAAACATACACAACTCTTGATTCGCATTCAGTACCTCATTTTTCGTACGAATTTGAGCTCTTATCAACACACCATCTTGTGGATTCCCAATCACCTGTTCTTTGGGATGATTCCTTATCCATTTCTGAAGTGGTGGATAATCAGGATTAAATTCCAATGGTGCATCTTCATACAAATCTTCATTTTCAGATCCTGCAACAAACAAATTATCATTTAATTCAAGAAATTCATCATTTTCATTAAGATTAATTGTCTCTGTTGCATCATGCTCCCCTCAACATGATGTTCATGTTGAAATTGCGAATGCTCCCCCTCAACTTGATGTTCATGTTGAAATTGCGAATGCTCCCCCTCAACTTGATGATTCATATTTTCATTCTCCCCCTCGAAAGTTTGCTCTCTTTGTGCATTGTTGATTGTATGCTCCCCCTCCATACGAACTTCTGGCACACTTTCGCAAGATATTGACGTTGTAGTTATTGTTGAATCATCAATATGTTTTGAGGATTCTAATGTTTGATTATCAGGAGCATGTACTTCTGCATCAATTGCCCTGTCAGGAGTTCCAAAAATTAAGTCATAATCAAAATCATTGATATTTGAATTGTCAATTTGAGTATCTGAATCAACAAGAATTGATTTATGTTCAAATTTACTATCCGTTTGTTTAATATAGTAATCATCAAAAGTTAAGTTGAAAGTTTCTTCAACCTTTTGTTGTTCTCTTGTTTAACGCTCTGTATGCAACTAAATTTTGCGAATATCCTAAGAATATGCCTTCATCAACTTTAGCTTGGAACTTGGTCAAATTATCTTTTAGATTCATTATAAAACACCTGCAACCAAAAACATGGAAAAATTTTACATTAGGTTTTCGATTGTTAAGTATTTCATATGGACCAACATTGAATCTTCGATGAAAGAATGATCGATTCTAAGTAAAACATGCAGTTAATACTGCTTCAGCCCAAAGATATTGAGGTAAGTTCGCATATGTTAACATGGTTCTGGCGGGTTCGCATAGAGACCTATTTCTTCTTTCAACAACACCATTTTGTTGTGGAGTATATGATGATGAGAAATTATGCGAAATGCCTTTGCCTGTGAGAAAAGAATCCAGTGTTTGATTTGTAAACTCAGAACCATTGTCACTTTTAATTCTGCGAACACTCTTCTTAAGACTCATCTCAATCTTTTTGATAAAATCAATCATCTTCTGAACAACTTCAGATTTTAACCTGAGAAAAAATACGCATGTGAATCGAGAAAAATCATCAATAATAACTAAAATGTACCGCTTTTTATTGACTGTTGCAACAGTCGACGGTCCACATAAGTCAATGTGAAGAAGTTCCAATGGTTCCACGATCTTTGAATCTATCACAATTGGATGATCTTTTCTATATTGTTTTCCTTGTTCGCAAGCTGCACACAAAGTATCATTGTCAAATTTTAGTATTGGTAATCCTCGAACCAAGTCTTCAGTGACAAGTTTATTAATATTGCGAAAATTCAAATGTGACAATTTTCTATGCCAGAGCCAGCTAACATCATTAGAGGCCTTTGATAGTAAACAGACAACAGGTTTGCCCACAATTGGTTTGATGTCTAATGTAAACATATCGCCATATCTTTTGGATTTGAGAAGTACTTCATATGTCTTTGCGTTTGAGATGATACTTCCTTCTTCATTAAACACAACCTGATTTCCAGTACCTACAACAAGTTGCGAAACACTGATCAAGTTATGTTGAAGACCTTCAACATAAGCAACCCTGTTAACTGTGAATTGTCCATTTGTGACTTTTCCATAGCCTTTCACTTGACACTTATGATTATTTCCAAATTTGACTACTCCAGCATTCTCCAAACTTCTATAATCTCGCAAGTTTTCCTTTCTTCAAGTCATGTGACGAGAGCAACCACTATCAATATACCATTTCGCATCATATTGCTCGTCACATATCACCTGCATTTATTGAAAAAATTTTGGAACCCAAAACTTATTGGGTCCATCATTAGTAGTTTTGAACAAATTCCTTGAAATTAAAAACCATGTTTTCACTTTATCTGAGACACTTCCCATTATATCAACATCATCAGATCTAGATATTGAAATATAGTTATTCAACAGTTTTGGATTTCCATTGACTTTCATCTCATCCTTCTCAACATTCGCAACTTTCATAACTGGTTTCATAACTTTCATAATTTAGTAGCAATTAGGGTTCTTTTATGGTGGAGCATAATTGATTGAACTGAAGGCAAAAACAGACATGGATGGAGACAGACAGTTTTATAGAGCAAAACTGTGACAAATGGTGAGGATGAATAAGCTGTAAGAGATGGTGAAAGCGAGATGGATTAGGGATATTACTAGTCGAAGCATCTAGAAAGCGTAGAACAGGACGCGAGTTATGAACAATATCCGAGTTCGATGAACAGTGCCGAGTTATGAACAGTGTCCTACTCGGTACTGTTGCTAAATTCATCCTTTTTTAATACATATATATATATATATATATATATATATATATATATATATATATATATATATATATATATATATATATATTAATTATTAGGTAGAATCAGTTTTGGTAGCTATTTAATGCGTATAAAGTTCTCTAATATTGCTTTATGCACACTCAAGATATGTGAGCATTAGTAGCGACAGACGTTGTCGTTAAAAGTCAAGAATGTCACCACTAAAAGCTTTTGCGACGGTCTACCACCGCTAAAAGGTCGCCACTGTTGTCTTGCTGCAAAAGATCCATATGTCGCCGATATTGCCCACCGTCGCTGGCAATGGGTCGCCGGTGATGGGAAGTCACGATTGAGGCAGGTTGGGGCTTTTTAACGGTGAAATTCTAGCGACGAAGACAGAACGAAGCGAATTAAAGAATCGGTGGAGTTGGATTTGGGAAGACAGAGCAAAAAAAGGAAAGAACGAAAGTTCATTATTTGCGCAGACTTTTAGCGGCGACGCAAGCGTATTAACAACGGTGAATTAATTGTGGCGATACGGAGGGAACTTTTGGCACCATCTATTTAGAGTATTAGCGGCGACACCTTCGCTGTCATTGGTGTCGCCACTATTGGGAATGTACGCAACCAGGGTCCAAACCATTGGATTTGCAACAAGATCGACGAGTAGATGTAAAATCAAACTTTCACATGGATCGTGGTTGAAGAGCATTAACGCCGACGCTATTAGCGGCAACATCCACTATTGTGGTTGCATGCATTGTTTTGCCACGTGTATAAATTGGTTAATTATTATAATGACGAGTATTTTATTTTTGTACTACAAGTATATTATTGTTGAAAAATCAAAAATGAAATACACACCCACGTTTTTCAGGCCACCGACATATATAACCCTCTCTCACTATCGACAAGATTCATTAGAATAAAGTAATTAGTGATAAAAAAAAAAAAAAAAGATAAAGCAAAGAGGATGCTATAATCAAGTATTGAATCCAACTTTTATATATATATATATATATATATATATATATATATATATATATATATATATATATATATATATATATATATATATATATATGTGTGTATGTGTGTGTGATATAGATCCGGTAAGAAATTTTTTTTTGTACGAAGGTAAGAATTTTTTTTTCTACATATTTTTTTGACAAACAAAATAAATGAATTACTAGACGAACAAAATAAATGAATCACAAGAAAAAATTCCCAAAAAAACATTTTTTTGATTCATTTTTAAGTAAATTAAGAAAAAAAATCATTTTTATGATAATATTAGTGAATAACAACAAAATCATTATATAAATGAATCATTGAGATGTTTTTTTTTTGAGAATTTTTTCTTGTGAATCATCTTAAAAATAAATCATCTAATGATTCATTTTGTTTGTTCGCGAAAAAAATATGTAGAAAAAAAAAAACTTCTTACCTTCCTATCAAAAATTTCCATCTTATTTGATCTTGACTATATATATATATATATATATATATATATATATATATATATATATATATATATATATATATATATAAAGCATGAAGAAGGTAACTGCATATCAAACATTATTCATCTGCGTAGGAATTATCATCTGGCAAAATCAAAGTGAGTGAAAAAAGATAAAGCGGAGACTAAACAATGCAAGTATCGAATAAAATATAAAGCTCTTTACACAATATATAAACCATGAAGAAGTTAACTGCATCTACATCATATCTTATACATATCCATTCTCCATTCATATGGAAGAATCAATCCCTTATTTTGGACATCGTTTTGAACAAATACAAAGCCCTTATGTTCGACATCCTTTAGAACAAACACAAGAAGAGCATAAGTACTAATTATATGCATCGATTACTAATGTTTCTAACTTTGTCTCTGTGAAGCTTTCCAGTGCCCGCAATTACCATCTTTGGCAGACACAGATGCTTTGCCTCCTGGAGACTTACAATCTGCATTGCATTGTAGATCTAACAACTACCCGTTCAAGAGCTTTAAGTCCGGAGATGGAGAAACAATATAACAGTCTTGTCAAAGGTTGGATCTTTGCTTCAATCAGTGAAGAGCTACTTGGCACGGTTGTCAATCTTGACTCCGCCAAAGCAGTTTGGGATAAACTGAAATCGTTCTACGATCCAGTTTTGATAAGTTCTCAACAAGGTATGCTGCCAATCTATCTTCTAAACAAATTCTATATTACAAATTATCTCACGCACGTGACCTAGGCACCTAGCTACTCTCTAATTAACACTTTCTTCGACGTAGAAAATGGAATGGTCATTATATGTCAAAAAACATATAGATGATATTTTCCGTTGGAAAAATATATATGTTAATATATAGATGTTTGTGTCCATGTATATTAATATAAATTTCTTAAAGCACATTCCCGTTTGTTTTATAGACATAATGGAACGATAGCCAGCAAAATATTTGTAGTAAATTATCATGCAATGGAGAAACATTATATTAATCAATCTAACCAACATGCATATATGTTTTCCGTTCCAGAGAAAAAAAACATGCATATATACTTGTTTCTTTAATTCATGTAATCTGTTAATTTAGTGATTAGCTTTATTTTGTACCAATTGTGTAAAATCTTTATTTATCACGATTGATGTATATAATTAAAAAGGTTGTTATGGTATTCTTTTAAATAAATTTTTAATACGGTAATGCACATTCAGCTCAAACGAATAAGGAAGCAGAAACAGACACAGAGACAGAAACTAGAGGCCTAGATAAAGGTGAAATACCTTTGGATAGAGCTTATGAATATTTGTTGAAAGTCGACAAAGGTGCTCGTATACCAAAGAGAAGGTCTGCTCCTTCAGAGGGTTCTTTTCACCGTAGTGGAAAATTTGGCGACATCCTTCTTGTAAATGCTATTTATGCAAAGAATTTTGGTGAGTATCAAAATATATATATATATATATATATATATATATATATATATATATATATATATATATATATCATTACTATATATAAAAGCCCTGTTTCTCCGGTGTCATTTATCACAGATTCACGCTATTCTAATACCTCCACGTAACCCAGCCCTCATAACGACACAACTTGCCATTACATCGATTCAATTCTTCTTAACACCGTTTCTTCTTGCGACGGCTCGCCTCCTATATAAACACCTTCCTTTGGTGTGCCGTCTACGGTGCATTAAAAAGTTTCCAAGAACAAAATATTGCTCAACATTTGAAGGACAACGACGCCCTGGATCGGCACACTTGTTTGGAAGGCACTTTGGTTTCTTAGGTATGAGTTTCCTAAATTTTTGGTTCTTTATTTGCTATACCAATGTTCAATAAAACCTGCAAATTTTGCCCTAATGGGAGAAATATTCAGATTATGATATTTAATTAATTTGAAGACTACGGAGTTTCTGATCGTGTCTTCTCTCTTTTTCTTTCCTTTAGTCACTACAAGAATAATCGGCATTAGCGGCGACGCTTTTAGCGGCGACAGCCACCTTTAGCAACGACACATAATTTTCGTGTTATGTGTCGCCGCTAATGCCCATCGACCCCGATCTGCGTCGAAATATGAGGTGAAACCTTAACTCCTTCTTCCTCCTTCAACTCCTTCTTCCTCCATCAGCTCCTTCTTCCCCCTTCTCTTTTCTATGAACTCATTTATATGTAGAATTTGTCTTTTGTATATGTATGTATTTGTGTATTAGTATATATATATATATATATATATATATATATATATATATATATATATATATATATGAGTGTTTTTATATGTGTATTATGTATGTATTTGTGTATTAGTATGTGTATCATGTATGTATATGTATTTTTGTATATGTATGTATATGTTTTTGTATGTGTATTGTGTATGTATGGATATGTTTTTGGTTATATGTTTTTATAAAGTTTTTATAATTTATAACAATTTTTATAATTTTATAAGGTTTGTTTTGTATATGGAAAGAATGTTTAAAAAAAACTAAAAAAAAGAGAAAACTACAATTAGCGGCGACACTTTTAGTGGCGACATGGTATTAGCGGCGACGGTAAGCATTAGCAGCGACAAATTGGGTATTAGCGACGAACCAACAGCGGCGACCCTTTAGCGGCTAATGCCCATCGACCCCGATCCGCGTCGAAATATGAGGTGAAACCTTAACTCCTTCTTCCTCCTTCAACTCCTTCTTCCTCCATCAGCTCCTTCTTCCCCCTTCTCTTTTCTATGAACTCATTTATATGTAGAATTTGTCTTTTGTATATGTATGTATTTGTGTATTAGTGTATATATATATATATATATATATATATATGAGTGTTTTTATATGTGTATTATGTATGTATTTGTGTATTAGTATGTGTATCATGTATGTATATGTGTTTTTGTATATGTATGTATATGTTTTTGTATGTGTATTGTGTATGTATGGATGTGTTTTTGGTTATATGTTTTTATAAAGTTTTTATAATTTATAACAATTTTTATAATTTTATAAGGTTTGTTTTGTATATGGAAAGAATGTTTAAAAAAAACTAAAAAAAAAGAGAAAACTACAATTAGCGGCGACACTTTTAGTGGCGACATGGTATTAGCGGCGACGGTAAGCATTAGCAGCGACAAATTGGGTATTAGCGACGAACCAACAGCGGCGACCCTTTAGCGGCGACGTGTCGCCGCTAAAGGTATTAGCGGCGACAATCGGGACCTTTAGCGGCGACGCCTGTCGTCACTAATAGTCATTATTCTTGTAGTGAGTCTCATGGTTTTTCCCCTTCATAAATCGATTACAATTTCCTTTTGATAGTAAAAGTGAATCTCGCTTGGAAAATTCTTCAATTAATTTATAGGGTATTTTAATCGGCGACAAAATCAATGGGTTTTCACTTTTAGGGTTCCTTAAGATTTTAATTTTACGTATGTTATAGTAAGAGTATTTCTTTTATCATTAGGTTGTGGGAGAATCACTTTCTTTTGATTGTAGGCCTTAAGAGCAACTCCAATCGATCGTCATTATTGTAGGATAACGGCGAAAATCGTTCCAACCATACGCCCTTGAAACGCTATTTTTGTGGAGAAAAAGAATTTAGCCACCATATATGGCGGTGGTTTAATCCTACACTAAATCACTTTTGCTAACATATCTTATTATTTATGTAGATGCTTTCCCTTTTTTCTAATAATAAAATGCCATCTGTTTGCATTGCCAAACCCTGCTCTGCTTGCTTCAGGTCTTTTGTCTAAAGTATCACTCATTCACAATTGGATCTACAGGTAGATTGATATAAACAATTCACATTATTTAAAAATATATTATTTAAAAATATATTTACTCTGTTATTTATTTAATTTATCATTCAACATTGCATATTATGGGACGTCTAATGAATAATTGCTTCTAGAAACATTTTTTTTTTATAATTTATTATAAAACAATTTATCAGCTCTAAAAATTGAACAAGTCATATTTTTGGTCTCACCCAATTATTTCTATTTTTGTTGAAACATATTTCTTGTGTAATCACAATGGTTTAATGCTACATTTTCTTTTTAGTGTTTTATTATTTTTGTGAGGTTATGGTGGCAAATTCACGGTAGCAGGAGATGTAAGATTAGACAGTGACGTCGATCCCATTGGAGCATGATGATACTCAAATAATATGGCCATATTTGAGGTAAATATGTTATTATAATGGCAATCTGATCAATAAACACAATTAGATATTTAAAGGTGCTTTGAAAACTTTTTTTAATGCACTATGATTTAAAATCATATGATTACAGTTACTTCCCATGTTTATTTTTTTCTACTTAGGGGGATTTTTTATTTGAATTTTAAAAAAAAGAATCTATTAATTTCTTATAGAAATGATATTTGCAGTTTTAAATAGCAATCCACATTTCAACTACTTATGGTTCATGTAATTCTTTATCAAACTGATTTAATTTTAATAGATTGTTCCTCTTTAGGCATCAATTGTTGAAGCTCTAAAATTGTTGTAACCGCAATAGTTTTCTTATCCTCTCCAATTTTGGATTATGCAGTTGGTTGTGATGGATATCAGAAACCAACATGAATGAAGATTGTCAACGGATCTCACAAAAAATTATGATTTTAATCACCAATACTATTTCATTCTTGTACAAAATAGAGGTGATAGATATTCTACAAATATACTAGAAAAAGACACTTTGTGCATAGTTATTGTAATTTTTTTTATCTTCATGGCCTAAATCTTTAAAATATGATGGCTATAAGGTTTTTGAAATATAAACCACTTATTTGGTTGTTCGCTTTTGTAGAGTTCTTTTGCCAGTGTACTAAACTCCATTTTACTATTTTTTTTTGGAAAAAACATTTTTTTTATTACCATTGAAATGTACAATACAATTTTAAATAGGTTGATTTGTTGGTGTCAATTTATCATTCTTAATTTGTAGTTTTTTAGTTAAAAGTGGAGAATTCTTTTACGGCAAAATACACAACGGTATGCTTTTCATGTTGGTTTTTTATTCATTTGTTGCATGTTTGTTTTATGATATTTGTATAGTATTTTTGGATAGAATTATTTTATGCCGACTTTTGTTACCCATTTTCATCTAGACAATCAATCAGTATTTCTGTTATTCAATCTTATTACGACTAATGCGGAGATATGTCAACATACTTTAATTTCTTTGTATTGAAATTTACAACTGTATTCGTATCAAGGCATTGCTTTTCAGGTGATCAAGAGGTTAACTTGTAATATTACCAACAACTTTTTTTGATTTCTTTATTATATAGCAATGTACTTTTACTTTTTATGTTATGTTGAAATTTTAAAAGAACCTTCATGGTACAATATTTTTAGGCCACATGATCATTATACTTTTATTTTGTTACTGATAAATAGCAATACCAATAATAGTGGCATTACTTGATTCTATTATTCTTTACACTTTTTACCAACGTCGACAATGTTATTTTAATTTTTTTACTCACCATAAAAACGCACTTGCATTTCTTTATTGATTTGCCAATCTCGTTCTAGATTTTATTTACAGTATTCACCACGGGGATATCAAGATATCACATTTTGAAAAATCCTTGTAATTATAACTTTCTACTTTAATCTTTTTAAATACCAAAATCGCCCTTCTCGGCTCGTGCTGAGCACGGGCCTTGCAATTTACCTAGTATATATATATATATATATATATATATATATATATATATATATATATATATATATATATATATATATATATATATATATATGGGAAAAGGGAATATACATTACAACCCCACCTAAGCTTAGGTACTAAACCTCTTGAAAATATATTGTTTTACTATATAAAGATTACGGTTACTGGATTCACGATTAATACTTCAAGATGTAAATTCAAGATCGACACAATAGGGTTTAGGGTTTAGGGTTTAAGTTTCTGTTTAGGGCTTAGGGTTTAGGGTTAAGGTTTAGGGTTTAGGTTTAGGGTTTAGGGTTTAGGGTTTAGCTTTAGTGTTTAGGGTTTGAATTTAGGGTTTAAGTTTAGGTTTAGGGTTTAGTAATGTTCACTTGGATGAAGTAATAAACGATAATTGAGGAAAGAAAACGGAGATGATAAAACGATAATGAAAGAAGGAAATGTTATGGAGAATGATATGTTTACCAAGTGAAACCAAACCGGGTATATTTTGCTTATTAAAACAACATATTTTAGAGGTTTAGTACCTAAGCTTAAGTGGGGCTGTAATGTATATATATATATATATATATATATAATAGAAAGCATTCACATTCTTTTTAATATGCTTTAGCATCGGATTTGGTCAGAAAGTTTCCTGAATTTGCTGTGAAAGATGATAATGTATTGATGGCAATAGTTAAAAACTTTCCGAGTAGGCTAGACACAGGCATCCCCGTGTTATTCTTTTTTAATTTCCCTTTTCTTCCATGGTGATAGATTATGGTTTTTTCTTCATGGGCGATATTTGTGAAAGGATAGTCAAGAGAGGTAGGGACTCGTTTGAAATATTAGTAGACTACTACAAAAACATAATGGATGTCATACAAGAAATACCTGACGACGTGATCTTTGGTACTATACAACTTCTGCTATACTTAACGTTGATGGGTGAGCTATTGGTAACCTGTAACTCATGAATACAAACCCAGAATCAATCATATATTTGTATTAAAAAATATATCATATTTTACTAATGAAAGATTTGTTCTTAATTATGCAGGCCCGTTAGCCATGCTTTCTTGGATTTATTTAATGCTTCGCGTACTCATGTTGATGCTTTATTTTCCGTTCTTTATGTTTTATTTGCTCTTCTGGAAGGTTGCAACAAGAGTAGGTATATAATGACTCAATGTCAGCTGAGTTTGAGGTATAATTTCGAATATAAATTTGATGATTCTGTTTAACCAATTGCTTAATTACCAACTTTTAGTTCCACCCATTAAGCATATCGAGAAGAAAATGAAGGAAAGGAAAAAAGCAAAAGAAGTTCTGGCGTTGATATATGCGATGAAATAGACAAGTTGGGGCACCCAGATGCATGTCGTCGCTTGTACACCGGACCAATTCACGAGGCTGCACGTCAAAATCTTTATGAGGTTGTTCATGAGATTTTAAGGAGATCCCCCACAGCAATGCAATTTAAAGATGAAAGTGGTTACGACATTATACAGTTAGCAGTTATATACCGATCAGAACGAATCTACAACTTTATCTATTCGATAGGAGAGCGTGAGGGTATTTATAGAACTATTGAAGATTCTTTTAGGAACAATATGTTGCACTTGGTTGGAAATTTACCTCCTTCACAGAAACTTAGACGTAGATCAGGTCCAGCACTACAACTACAAAGAGAGCTTCAATGGCGTCAGGTATATCCAAAATGTATTATTATCCTTATCGTCGGGGATCAGAGTATATATTCGTTGAATAAACAGAGTAATGTTTTTATAGGAAGTGGAGAGGCTCGTTGCTCCAATATGCATTACTCAAAAGAACGCTTTTATGGAGACACCAGATATGGTATTCAGAAGGGAGCACGATAATTTGTTGAAGGAAGGAGAAAAGTGGATGAAAGCCGTAGCAGAATCGTGCAGCATCACTGCAGCACTAATTACCACAATTGTATTCTTCAAATGCCCCTCATAATAGATTTCTATCGGTCGACATATGGACACATCTTTGGCCTTCCAGAAAACAATAACAAATTGAAGACGAATGACATATAACTGTTTTTTGGTATGTGAAACGATATCTTGGAATGATGCATTCTAGGTCCAACAATTATATATCGACTTTTTTTATTGTAAACTAGGGATAGGTGTGCGAGGATATTGAGTTTAAAAATAACAAACACAAATATCTACGTATTAAGTATTTTTTTTATTTACAGAAATCAACATATTTTGTTTATGTATATTTAAAGAATATAGTTAAATACAAATTAAAACATTACATTATTTAAAAAAGGAAAGAAATAAACATATGGTGATGACTTTTGTTCAAAATAGAATGATATTGTCGATCTTATGAGGTGAGAAGAAGATGTTTTTATCATTCATTGCTTTAGGTTGTTCCCATTTTTGTTGTTCCCATTTTTTTGATAAGCTGATCGAAGTAAAGTTTTGCTATTTTATTAACCTGGAATGATACACAATTGTTCACTACAAGATTATGAAAACAAAGCCAAATTATGTTTGTAATCTTTCTTGGAAATTATGTTAGTTGTATGAGTTGAAATTAAATCTCAAACTCATAATATATTTCAATACATATCGATTGAAAGCAAACGGACAACAAGCTGCGCCGCTAGCCCTTTCTGAATAGCAAAATCAATTCTTTTGAAAAAAACATTTGTGGATCTAGGAGATATGATATTAGAATGCATGATCCGTTGAACTCTATTAATGAGCTCTACCGCCTCTAGTACGAGAAAACCAAATGTATTGAATGCAAAAGGCACAAACACATGTTGATTTTCTATACATGCATCCTCGTGCTTCATCACTTTGCACGTGGCGGTTATCAAGTGGCTTGTCCAGCTGTGAAACCCCTGCTCCCCAAACCAACGAGAGGAGAGATCCCAGTAAGATCCACACACACATGTTCCCTCCTATCCATCCAAAGACCAAAATGTCAGTCGGTCTAAGTGTTAACCTTCCATCCTGTTGGGCCGTCAAAAAGTTCACTGACGTTTCTTTCTTCACAGAAATATCAGCACGCCGACAAGCATCAAAGAAAACATCCCGAACCACATCATGTTTGTACTTGAAATCATGGAGCTCTCTACAATGAATCGTGTGCTCCCCAAAGGTATCCAAACATGCCTTGCCACAAACTGGGCATATCTCGTCAATTGAAAATATGGGATCATGAAGCGATAACGAATGATAATTCAGTACTCTACAGGAGACATATGTTGGCCAAAGCCATCAATAGGGATAGTTAGTAGAAATTCATGAGCATGAGGTGCTTTAAGACACTCAAAGATTGCTTTCTATCTAACAGTCATGTCGAAGTCGACTTCCATATCTTGGACGATTTTGCTAAAAAGGGAACACGCCAAAGCTTTTTGGGATTTAGGGGGCGGTGTCCTTATTAGTGAAACCGCTAATAAACTATGATTTTTGGGATTTAAAGGGCACATGCCGAAGCTCTTCATGGCCAGCCCGCTAATAAACTATGCTTCTCTGCTAACAGCCCCCCAAGGAGCTTCACTCCCAAAGAAGGTCTCCATATATCTATTGGGAATAAATTGGCACGAAGCTTCCTACCATCATAGGAGGGCCAAAAAATCTCCGTTTTCTTGATGTTCAACTCAAGACCCAAGCCTGGACCATGCAACCAAATAATGTTCAGCACTCTAGCTACCTCATCTGAATCCCCAATGACAGTCCCGTCATCTAGATACCAAGCATGGAGAATGAGCTTACAATTGTATCTAATCTTGTGCACAAGCGGATGCAAAACGAGGGCAAAAATAAGAGAGCCGAAGGGGTCACCTTGCTGCACCCCAGTGGCAGACCATATATGTTGGTCTATGATATAAAGTCTCGCTGTTTTCCCATACAAGAAATTCACCCACAAAGAAATGGAAGGGCACATCTTCTTAACCTTATGGAGCAATGTTGATCGATCCACAAGGTTAAATGTATTCGAGAAATCCACAGTCAACATTGCAAGAGACCCATCAGCATGGTATTCACTTAACACCCTATTGGAACTGTGTAACACAGCCTCAACACCGATTGATACACCAACCCCGAACTGAAAATCATTGAGGTACTTGGCCATTTCTTTACCCACACCTTTCATGGAAACCTTGGAAACCAGACGTCTCCATATAGTGCCTAGTGCAATCGGACGGATCCCGTTGTTACGTTTAAGTAGAGGCGTGAGAGGAGCGGACGTAACAAACTCTGCAAAAATGGTTGGACATCTTCCCGCTAACCATAAATTAACCACTAAAGTGATATCATGTATGAGATACGTTAGTTGACATAGTAAAAGAAGGATGAAACAAAAAAAGCTAAAGACAACATACGAAAAGGTAAAACAAATGGATTTAAGGGAAATAAAGAAAATCAAATTAAACAGAAGATGGTATGGGTGTTCCTTTGATTGATCGGTTTTATCCAAACAATCAAATGAATTAAAATTTGTTTTGAAAACGTGGATCTGAATAATCCAAACTAAATTCAAATTTAATACGGACCAACCAAATTACGATTCGGATGTATTAGTTCTTACAATTAAGTTTTCAAGAAACAAAACATTTAAAAGTAAGTATCACATGAATATTCGTCGACTTAAACAAAAAAAAAATTTGTTTGCTTGGGAATGAAAATGTATGAACAACTACTCAAAAAATCTATTAGAATTTAATATTTTAAAAATATAAAAAACTTTCGAGAAATATACATTAAGATATTTTATTGGATAATGCTTTCTAATCTATTTAAAAATACTAATAATGTAATCTAATAAATAATTAAAAGATGTATATTGAAAATAAACAACATAATAATTCTCTTTTACTGAAACCTCATTATTCAAAATTTCGAATATCCAAACCAAGAAGTCATATGCAAATTGTGCAATTGGACAATTCAGTTTTATCTTAACACTAATATAACGCTCCAAAAACTCATAGTAAATTTTCATTTTTAAAACAATAAATCATACAAACGAGTTAATCCAAAACCGATCAAGTGAATATATTATTTAAACATCAGAGTAATATCATGAATTGCCAATGCGGAAAACTCTGGGGAAGTTGTGTAGTCACGTCAGACTCTTCCCTTTCGAACCGGAAGTATTTGAAACCATAAATATGAAACCATAAGCATAAAGCTTAGTGAGTTCCCCAAAATACCACATATCATATATACAACAGAGATTGCTATGTGCCAACCATAATCTTGTCATTATACCATGAGCTGTATCATGGTCTTTCCTTACCAGGTCGGGGGCCAACACCTTGGGTCTTACAAACTAGTGCCAAGAGCCACCTCATGGTCTTCAATGCAAGTATCACAAAGACAACTAGCATACTGCATATAATTACCAGTGTCTGATCCCTGGTCTTGTATACAAATATTTGGGATCTACTTCTAGGTCTTTCATACAAATGCCAAGGTTCATCCCCTAGTCTTCCTATATAACATAAGCCAATGGGCCAACATTGGTGCCTTCGACCCCCGAGTATAGTGAAGAGAATCACCTGAATTACCAAGCCGACTAACACGCTCAAAGCCACGCAACCGCCGCTACAACACTCTTATCACAGCATACAAGGTCCAACCTTAGATTAAATATTGGAATCATCCATCTTGGCCAAAATTCAACCCAAGTCAAAAGTCAAAGATCAAAGTCAAAGGCCAATGTTGACTTCAGTCAACCGAAACCTCCTGACTACTTATGGCCACGTCGTGGCCCTCCAGCAACAGTCCATCGCGATATTCATTATTGCCATGTCGTGGCGACCTAGTGTCATGTCGTGGGCACTGAGTCTTCAACAGCTTAATGGATTAAGCTATTTCCCTTGATCCTAAGGGCTCCAAAGTTCGGATCAGGTCCATATTATTATCTAAATAGAAAAAGTTTCCAACTTTATCCATTAAGTCACCCAAAGAGATCAATAGCTCAAACCTTAGGTCCAAATGAAGCCAAAACCCATGATATCTTAATCATTAAGCCCTTTATCTGAAAAAGTCCTTAACCCAATTACTCCAAAAGGTTTTCTAATACCAGGTCCATCATAAAGGTGGAAATTTTATATACATGCATGTCCAATACATGTCTAAGATCCATCTTAGTTCAAAATATGAACGTTAAAGGCCATAACTTAGGTGCGTCATCCCCTAATTTTTCGGCTAGAAAAGACCAATTTTGTTTATGCTTTTAAAATAAAATCACAGTAATCTCCCTAATAAAAATATGCAGAATTTGTCCCAAAACAAAAATTTATAAAAATATTTACCAAAGCATTTCTTAAAGAAATGTATGTACATTTCATTACGAAACTCGGAATGTCCACATCGATAAAGATAAAAAAGATAAGCAATATATTATAGGCATTACAACAGTTATTTACATCTATTGGCCTATAATCCAAAAATACCTCGTCATCATCCAACTATGCTCTGGGTCCACTACCTGTATTATAGAAAGCTGAGTGGATGAGACTTGGGAGTCTAGTGAGCATATAGGGTTTTCAACCCACAATAAATAAATCTATTAATTTTCATCAACCAACAATAAATTTTTTAATTTCATCAACTAACAATAAATTTAATAATTTCACTACTCAACAATAACCCTGGTTACTTGTTCCTGTTATCCTCACTTTATGTCCCTAAACATCTAGTAAAAGGGACCTAGCTTAAGGATCATAATCGGGCTAACAACAATGCTTATGGGATACTTCTGCAGTTTCTTAAGGTTCCACCCTAAGAATCCTCTATCATTCACTCATTCATTCAAAATATTGTCCTAAGGTATAGGTACAAAGTCCAACGTTGCCAATAGTACAAATGATAATATTCTCTATTAGGCATAGCTGCCAATATTATCCTCCGTCTGCTGAAAATCACTCGATCTAAAATTCGAGTTTCAGGTTGCATACTATTATGCCAAATCTTAGAAAA